CTATTTTTTATGTAAACGCATGGATATAAATGTATCTTGTATAGATCTGGAATTTTATTTTTTACATTTTTGTGATAGTGTAACATAGTACGAAAAAAAATTGGATATTGCTGCTCTAAAGTATCAAGAAGTCACAAATAAAATAATTCATTAAAAGTTGACATTAATTGGCTTTAAGAGACTACGAGGACTGTGAATAATAACTTATACTATATCACATCGGACACTTCTGTAACTATACTCATGTCAAAGCTTTACTTTTTATTATGTCATTTTGCTGAAATGTTAACAACAGATTTTTTTCTCAGCTCCGAAGATGTCGTATTACGAGCCAACAAAACATCATTTACGGGAAGTTTCACTTTTCCCATTTAAGAAAAAAGCTGAGTCATCGAGTACTGTTGGAAACTTATGATGAACATACTCCATCAATAAAAACGTGTGAGTATTGATTTCGACGTTTTAGAAGTGGTGATTTCGATACAATTGACAAAGAACGCCCTGGTCAACCAAAAAAGTTCGAAGATGAAGAATTGGAAGCATTAATCGACCAAGACAATTGTCAAACGCAAGATGAAATTGCTGAATTGTTGAATTTTGATAGCATAACATTTTCCAAGCGTTTAAATGCATGCGTTATGATTCAAAGCAAGGAATTGGGTGCCATAGGAATTGAAGCTGAGATGTTAAATAGCGATTTTTGACTTGTGAGCAATTGCTTCAACAGCAAAGAAAAAGGGTTTTTTGCACCATATCGTTACTGGTGATGAAAAATGGATATGCTACGATAATCCTACCAAAGAAACTCGTGTGGTTTGTATGGGCATGCATCAACATCGACAGCAAGGCCTAATATTCATGGTTCGAAGCTCTTGCTCTGTATTTGGTGGGATCAGCTTGGTATTGTGTACTATGAGCTGCTTCAACCGAATTTAAACCATCACTGATGAACGCTACCAAACACAATTGATGCATTTGAGCCCTGAATTGAAGGAAAGACGGCCGCAATTCAAGCAAAGGCACAATAAAGTAATTTTTCAACATGACAACGCTTGACCTCATGCTACTCATGAAGTCAAAAAAATACTTTGAAATGCGGAAATGAGGTGTTTTACCCCACCCGCTATATTCATTGCTCCATCGAATTAATACTTGTTCCGATCCATGAAGCATGGCCTGAATAAGCAGCGCTTCCAATGTTACAAAGTTACGACAAATTGGATTGATTGGTGGATAGCATCAAAAGAAAAGTTGTTCTTTTGATGCAAAATCCATATGTTGCCAGAAAGATACGAAAAAATAAAGGCTAGCGATGAACAATGGTTTGAAAAATAATACTGTACATAATTTTTCACAATAAAGCCTTGAATTTATAAAAAGATCCCTCAAAATAAATTCACAGTCCTAGTATTCGATGCTATGTTTTTAACTACAAATGCATTTTTCATATGAACTTTAAAACTACAGAACTTCTAAGAGTCTTCCCGAAGTCAGTTGAAGATGTAAAAAAATTCCTGGCAATAAAATTTAATGAGTTTCATAGGCATCCCTAAAAAAGTTTTCTGCTAAAGGTAAAAAATTATAATAATTTGTATATAATGTGTAGAAAATTTCTATTATATGTTCATGTGACCAACATATTTTAATTATTTATGTCCTCAAACAATTTTATTATATTGATGGTAAATTTCGTTTTGTTCCATTTCAAAAGGTCTCCAAAATACCATGTTGTAATAATATTAGTAAACAAAATATCCCTCTTATTTCTTCCTTTTGCAATTGTAATATGAATGATTAATAGAATGGTGCCTATAATAAATTAAAATTATCTGAATCGCACCAAATTCTGCATTGCTGTACTGCACTGCCAGACGACTTGTCGACAACTGAAATTTATGACACAGTCGACCAGAGCAGCTGTGGGTGAACGATGTTTGCCCGCATGCGCATCCTTCAACTGGGTGTTTACATTTCTACCACCTGCACGTTTAGTTTGACCAGACCTGTATATGGGTATGGCTAAATAAATATGGCAACAAGTTTTTCAAATATTTCAATGTCGAGTTGCTGCGTAGCGACCGAGCCTGATACATACTGTCAAGTTCTTGGTTCTTCAACTGACAGCAGAAAGACTATACTATTTTACATCTTACAGTAGGGAAACAAAAATGAATACTTAAAATTTTAAAGCCTTTCTTTTATATTACTGTTTACTAATTTTTTATTACTTTCACTTTTTTAGGAATTAAGACCACAAAAAATAAAGCTTTCAAAGATATTATTCTAAGCACCTGAATTGTCACCTACTAATAAATTTATTTATCGATTAAAACTGCATCTGTGCCAAAAATATTAGTCTAAGTGAATGACAGACATAAATTTAATCGACTAATAAATTTATTTGACATTTGGAAAATCCCTGGCCCCAATTTGAAAAAATTATATGGAAAAAATTTTAAAAAGGAGCAATTGCAGTTATATGATTTAATACTTCTCTGTCAATAAAAAAAAATTCAAAAGCAAAAAGAAAAATTGGTCTTAAATATATGCAAAATATGTCATTCGTTAATAATCAACACTAGGTATAAAAATATAATCCAAAATATAAACCATTTGCAATAACAATTCACCCGTGGAAATTATTATTTTTTTTGCAAAATTATTACTAACCACAACCCAATCATGCAGAACAGAAGATCTCATGTAAAATATTCAATTTTGTAACTTAACCTCAATAATTCCTTAGCAACAGTTATTGTGTCCACAGATGGAGTTTATTTTATTTTATTGAAAAATGTCTCTTGTTAAAAAATCCCGTTTGTGTTCTGATGTACCACAATACAGTTTGAAACAAGCTAATAGATTATCCCCTGCTACAAAATAATTATAAATATTACTTAAAATTTACATAATGAATCAATTCTCTCCAATATTTAATACCTATGTAATATTAGGATGCAGCGGCGATTAGTACGACGGGCTTTGTGGCGCCACCCCCCTTAGAAATTTTTATAGTAAAAAAATTTAATTTAAAATTTAGTTTATAATGCTAGGTATCTTATGAAACGGATTAAAAAGAAAATGTTAAATTTGTATTGAGCAGTCAATTTAACTTGATGTGCAAAATTAATTTCAAAAACATTGAATACGTGGGCTCCTTAGCTTGCCCTAAATCTGGAAAGTGTTTACAACTGTGGTTATGGTTTCCGTTGAGCAGCAGTGAAATACAGCGTGGAAGTAGTGCATATTTGCCATGCTGTTTGGGCTATTTACTATTGCATTTTCCACCGTTCCTGATATTGAAGTCAATAGCGGCCACTGTTAGGATGCTCTCAAACTGTCTTTACAATAAATATGAATAGCTGAAATTTGACATCTTAGAGAATCAGCCCTTGATAAAAAAAAATTTTTGTAACATATGATTCTGAAAATTTAAGTAGGTCTTAAAGGAAGAAGAGGAGGAAGAAAATTATAAAAATATTTTAATAGAAAAAGTTAAAAGTTAGTTAAAATATATAGTACTCGTATATACATACTAAATTCGCAATTTCTTCAGCCTCTGTAGATAAAGTACTCTATCTGTGTAAGAAGTTAGAAAAAGTTTTTTAAAAACATCAAAGTACGCTCTCTTCAAAATTGGTGTATGCACATAAAATGTTAAAACTGAATAACCTTCAGTATCTTATATGGAAATTAAAAAATGTTTTCTTTTTAAGTAGTGCCTTTTTGAGTCAAATATAAAAATATATAGGTATATTTCAAGTTGTTTATAATTAAAATATAAGTGTATGTCGTAAATTTGATAGCAATCTGTTCTGCCTTTACAATTTAATGATTTATCAAATATAAAATATGTCAGAGTAGCCAATTTTCTTCAAATTTTATATATGAAACAAAAGTTTAATTGTGAATTCTTCTGAAAATTTTTCGACATCTTACAAAAATGGCACTTTCAGAAAAAAATATTTTTTTGCTTCTAACAACACTTCATTTTTCACTTTTCAGAAATAAAAATGACTTAAATTATACAGGATCATATAAGATGGTTTGGATAGTTTGTGTTAAAATCTGTAGTCACCCTTTACATATTAAATATTGGAAAAGAATTGTGTATTTATGTGTTTCTTAAGTGATATGTTTTTTTTTTGAAAATTCAATCACAAGATTTTAATTAAAAGGAATGTTTTTTCCATAAAATGGAAAATAAAAGTTTGAACTCTTTTCAGCATTGTCAAAGATTTAAAAAAATAATTATTATTTGTGTTTGATAACTGACATAGTGCATAACTAAGTGTAAGAATATTATCATATTTTCAATCATTTCTTAGTTCGTGACACCCCGTATATGTTGGTTCTCTTTTTTGTACATTTTTGTATGTTTAAATAACACAAAACCAAAATTTTTTAGGAATAATTTTTTTCCATATATTAAAAATAAAGTTTTCCCTCTTTTCTAATTCAATCTGTGGACATACTGTGCAAAACAATACATATTTATAATATCAGATATGAAACCATTTTCACTTTAAAAATGCAAAAATTACTCCATTGTTTATTTAAAAATTGTTTGATTTCTAGTCAATATACTTTAATTATTTATATGAAAAAGTCTGATATTGTTTTAAAATAGAACTGTCATCTAACACATATTAAATAGTTATATTATGTTAACACTGAAAGATTGTAAATTGTAAAAAAGTTTTAAAATGGTAACACTTAGCTCTCAAAAGGCAACATATACAAACTTAATGCAAATTCAGTTTTATTACTTTCTATCAGCGCATGAAACAAACACAAGCATACAGAAACAAAACGATCCTTCTAGGTAACTACTGGTTTGCCTTAAACAAAACGAGAGGTAATAAAGAAGCATTGTCCCACTGAAGTATTTTACAATGATTCAGTAGAAAAACAAAGTTATGATTAAAAGAGATGAAGATAAGCTAGATTAATGTCGAGGCCCATCCCGAGTCTGTGTTATGGATCCTAATTTGATATACCTAGCTGTGGTTTGAGATGGAGTTACTAGTTGGTTTCCGGAAGTCGTTGTATTAGCCAGGCGCTGGATTTCTGATGACGCTTGTGACCCATCGCCTTTTAATACTCCCACTGGCTTCCAGGAATTAATATAATTCACTGCAAGAGAATATAATTTATTTGTATATTTAAAATTGCAAAATACAATTGTGTTCCATTAGGAACCAATATAATATAGAGAAATGTACTTCAAGAAGATTTTAAAATCCGATAACAATGAAAATAACACAAGCATCTGGCAATCGCCTACTTTAATTATTTTAAAAGAAATCTTATATTTTTTAATAGATGTTTGAATTCTATTTACTTTTTTAATGTAAAACTGGGAATTTGTCCATTTCGGCCATTTTTAATATTAATATCTTATCAGCCAGCAAAGATACTTATCTTGAATAACTATGAAGCTTAATTACATTTTCTGTATAGCTATTTAGACACTGAGTTTACCAGCAATTTCCATAAAACAGTTAGTTAAAAAGGTCTTCAAAAATTACTAATATTACTTTGAAAGTACACTGAAAATTGGTTATAACGACATCGCTTTGTACGACACCGTTTACAACGACATTTCGGATTTAGCGACGCGTTTTTATATACATTTACCATAGACTCTATCAGTTATAACGACCAATAGTGATATATGGCCTTAAAACTAATGCACCGCTCTTCCGCCCGCCCTGCCGACATCCACGCTTTTGACACCAGTTAGTAGGTTTGGGACAAATTACGACTTATCTACGCATACAGTTATAACGAGCGTTCAAATAAAAACGTGGTCGAAGTTGGCTCTGACACATTGGACATAGGGAGTAGCTTATAGCGACCAACTTAACCTCATTTCTCAACGAGCTGTATAGCAGCTGTCAGTTTCAATAACGTTAATGACTATATAACTTTATTTTAAAGAATAATCGTGATAACAATAACAAACAATTAAAGGAGCTGCGGAAAGTGTCCCCCTCCTTGTTATAACAATAAATTAAAGCAGCTGCTGAAAGTGTCCCCCTCCTTGTTCCAAGCACTTTTCACACCTGTTCCTCAAAGAATTAAAGACATTTTCTAAGATGCTCGGGGTATTGTTAATTTCACGAATCTTGTCTATAAGTCGAGCCTGCAGATGGTTTAAATCAGGAATAGGCAGTTCAAAAATAGTGTTTTTAAGGTAAGGCCACAAAAAGAAATCACACGGCGTAATATCACATGACCTCGGTGGAAATTCATGTTCAGCATTGAGACTTATTAGTCGATTTTGGAAAACTTCCCTCAACATATTCATCGTCTCGCCTGCCGTATGTGCCCTTGCGCCATCTTGTTGAAAGTAAAAGTTTGTAATTTCGTTTTCTTCCAGCTGGTTAACAAAAGGAGCGATAATTTCTTCTCTATACCTTTGCGCAGTAAGAGTACCATTAAAAAAAATAGGTCCATAAATCCTCCTTCGATTGAGAGCACACCAAACTCCAATTTTTTGAGCGTGTAGAGGGCCCTCGACAAAAAAGTTATCTGGTTTTTCAGAAGACCACATTCTCATATTCTGTGAGTTTACGTAACCACTTAAATGAAACCAGGCTTCATCAGAAAAAAAGGTGATATTATGAAGTTCACCGTAGTTGTTTAAAAACCATTCACAAAATACAGCCCGTCGCGGAAAATCAACTTCATGAAGTTCTTGCTGACAAGTTAAACGATAGGAGAACCAACTTGACCACGTTTTTATTTGAACGCTCGTTATTATATGAATTAATTACCGCTTTCTATCTTCTCTTCTACGATGTCGAAGAGAAAAGTGTTTAATAAAGAAGAAATATAGAAATATATAAATATAGATATAGAAAAAACGTAGAAACTAATACAAGCAAGCAAAAGAATGTGGCGTGTCACACTACGATTTCAACAATTTGGAGGAATAGAAATAAAGTAAAGTCTCTATTCGTAAACAATTCATTGAAAATAAATCGCGCGAGATCTTTTCAACACAAAGCAATACATGTACATACTTAAAGACTTGTATTGTAAATTTTTCATTTTTTCGATAAAAATTTTAAATAAACTATAAATGTAATTGCTTATTATGTCTATCGGTTATAACAACCATAAACAAACGGTCCCTTGAAGGTCGTTATAACCGATTTTCACTGTAATTGTAACTCGATTTTTTCAATTAAAACAGAATATTAGTGAACAATACGTTTTTCCCTATCTCTTAAGTTATTTAAGCTTTATATGTTCAAAAATTTAACTTGATTGCAGGAAAGAATGTGTAATAAACAAATTAAGTTGTTCTATGTTTTATAATATTAGAATCTCACTACATATTACATTCTATTCAAAGGTAGATTACAAAATTATCAGATTTCTGGAAAACAAAATAGAAAAAGCTTACAGTTGGCTACATTATGACTAAGCATCGACATATAATTTTTTTCTTTCATAATGTATAATTGACCAATGCCGATACTTTAAGGCCGATACCGATGTACATGTATCGGTCTATTGACCAAAAACTGGCAGTTACATTACATATACAAGGTGCGTTCCAAAGTAAATGGGACTTTTCAAAATTCATTTCATAACATTTAGACGAATAGAAGCGCAGTTATTGCGTCTGAAGTGACAATATGTTTGTGTCATGGGTACAAAAATGAGCATCGACCAAAGAGTTAATTAAGTTTTGTAAGTCGTCAGTGCCACGAAAAACAACTACTCCGAGGGCTATTTGCCCCTACCGGCATTGAATTACATTCGCGACACCCAGTACAACAGCTAGGATCGCTCATCAGCTGGTCCCACCAGGCACAGACCGGTTTCGGACTTATTAGTCCTCATCAGTGTGTCATAGGTAGGACAACCGATGATCGATCCAGCAGTTAAAAGTCGTAAACTCCCTACCTGGCAAATTTTAGCAGGTCGCTTCCACCGTAGTAGCCATTTGAATGGCATAGTGGAAGTCAGCGCGATAGATGGAGCCTTTGTGCTTCGCGTACTAATTAAGTTTTGTTTTAAATTTGATAAAACTTAATGAACCAAGTTTATGGTAATGATTGTTTATCCCGTGGCAGAGTTCACGAGTTGTTTACATGGATTAATATTATTTATTGGATTTAGATTGATTTTAGTATTCATAATATATATCTGGATTGGAAATCAGTACACCCCGGGACACCCCCAAAATAAGGGTTGAAAAACTAAAATATTTATATCTGAAGTTATGATATTATCTACTTGCTTTTTTTCATGAATCATTCTATATGGCTAAGAGCATTTGTGGGAAAATCCTCGAGCTATTTCCACCTTGAAACACCCTCCAAATAGGGGTAGAAAAACTAAAATATTTATATCTCAGGTTGTAACGAAATTATCCACCTGTTTTTCGATAATTCTGTACAGCTAAGGGCATGTGTAGAAATATCCCCGAGTCATTTCCAAACCGAAACACCCCTAAAATAGGGATTGAAAAACTAAAACTTTATATTTCAATTACGTGATTATGTAAGAGGTAGTTATTTGATTTGGGTTATTGACCTTGAAAGTTAACAAACTAGTAAAACTGCCTAGCAACGCTTGCATACTTGCTGGTTCGAACTGAAAACATACGATATATGGAATTTTCCATTCTTACCGATTCTAGGGTAAAGTTCTAAGTAAAATTCTAAAGTTGAGTATCATGTTCCAATTTTGCAATTACCATCAGCTAACCTCCTCTGAACCCTACAACTTTTGTACAACTTATATCTCGAGAAACTCAACCCTTCAAATTACCCTGTATATATCCCCTATTTTGGAGGTGTATCAGGGTGGAAATGATTTGAATAATTTCCCACTCATGCTCTTAGCCGTACAGAATGATTTACAAAAAAAAAAGGTGGATAATCTCATAACCTGAGAAATAAATATTTTAGTTTTTCTACCCCTATTTGGAGAGTCCTCCGGGGTGGAAATGGCTCGAGGATTTTTCAAACACATGCTCTTAGCCGTACAGAATGATTTGTGAAAAAAAACAAGTGAATAATCTCATAACAACCTGAGAGATAAATGTTTTAATTTTTCTACCCCTATTTTAGGGATAATTTGAGGATTTCTACACATATGCTCTTAGCAGTATAGAATGATTAATGAAAAAAAAAACACGTATGGATAATCTAGTAATAACCTGATTTTATATCAGATTTTCGTTTTTAAACCCTTATTTTGGGGGTGGAGTTGTACTAATTTCCATTCCAGATACATATTATGAATACTCAAATTGATCCAAACAGGATAAATAATACAAGAATGGATAATAATAATTTCCAAAAGTGCTCATTTCCATTTTCAGGTTCATGGGAATATTCCATTTTTTGAGACTTTGCGTCCTTGATATCTTGAAAACTGTTAATTTCTGGACTTTGCGCCTATGAACACTTTTGATCAGGAGGGTGTCAATTACAACATATCAAAAATTCGGACGAATCGACCTGGAAGTCAAACCCATAGGTTTGTGCGGAGTCCTTTCATGTGTGGAGTCAACATAAACGTGGAAAATAACATGATTACTAACAACATTTATATAATTTAAACAAAAAATAATAATAATTTTCTTTTCCTCTCTTTTCCATTTAAAGGATTAATTTTTATTTAATTTAATTTTTTATTATTTTTTTATTAAAATTAGATTAAATTTAAACAAAACAAATTTTTTTTGTTTAAATTACTATGAAATTGACCAAAGTGGGATTAATTCAAGAGAAACCGTTAAAGATAACGATTTGAAACAAGAGTACCTTTTTAACGTAAAACAGTTCGGGAAAACGGAATTTGCTGTCCAATTTGTTAAAAAGTCAAAGATGAAAAATTACACACGCAAAGTACCAAGGGCCCCCCCGTACCCATCCAATGGACCTTGTGGAAATAAATGGATTAGTCCATCAAATTGCTCATCAAAATTTAGCTGTGTATACCAAATTTCATTCATTTATCACAACGCGATTGAGAGATATTGCAAAAAAAGATTTCCATTCCTCCCTCTTCAATGGGTCCCTGTGCCCTTAGGAAGCATTTCCGGACCCATGTTCATATGAACTTTTTTACTTAGTTTTGATCATAGAATCGGCCTGTTCAGGGTTGGCAGCTAATTATGAGACACCCTGTATATTCTATAATAAAACTTGGAAAAATAATATTTTTCATTCATTTGCAAACACAGAATGAAATAATGTCATAAAATTTTATTTTTCAAAAGGGAAAAAATTCAAGACTCAAAATATTTATAAACTTGAACTATATTTAATATCATAGGTAACTTTTTAATATCGACGTCAAACTAAATACGTGGACAATGAAAGACCACGAATTCCAGTTTGGGATAATTCATCTATATCCAAAATCACTTAATTTGACTGCCAGATGATCTAAAAATTCCTGAAAATTTAAAGTTCCAAGATGTTGATAAAGTACCACAATCAAATGCGATTTTGGGGCCAAATGCCTATTACCAACCTAATGCAAAAAATTAAAGGGTTAAAAGAATTTCCGAAATGTTTCCGTGATTTTTGACAGACTGCATTTAGGTGAAAAATGGTCATATCGGGAATTAAAAAAAAGCATTTTGAAGCTCTAAGATTTTAGTTTCTAGATCTTTCGGTCGAAATTTTTTAAGAGCGACGGACATTATGCAATTCTAAGAAATAGCACGACAAAAACATTTTGCAATTTTTTGTTTGTTTCCATGGATTTGGAAAAATTTTTTCCAGCTAAACCATTGCATAGACCAGATAGCCTGTTTCTTCAGCTTCAATTTCCTTTTTTTAAAATTTCGATACGACCATTTTTCATCGAAATATCAGACTTTTAATGGAAAAGGATCTTCAATCATCGATATCTCGGCAAAAATGGTCGTACAGAGAACTGAAGTTTTGAAAACTGGAATAAATTTCCTATAGCATGCTGGTGCAACTTTTCTGAAAAAAATTTTTTTTCAACTTTAACATGAATTTTCAAAACTGGAAAAAATGGGTAATTTATGGTTTTTTAGAAAATTGACGGCTAAATTAGAAATATTCACGAAATGACTAATGTTAAGCATGACTTTTACAGTTCGATATACTCAGAAGAACCCTGTGAAGTTTCATCTCGATCTAGCGAACAATTTCTTGTGTTTAGAACAGTCAAACTTTTGAAAAAAATTAAAGGGTCACGTTTTTTGAGCTTAAACACTTCATAAGAAAATAGGAATTTTTACATTTTTCTACAGAAAATTAAATATTGTAATTTTGAAAGCATGATAATGTTTTACTTCCAATAAATATGTGTACTATGTTTATTCAAATTTAAGGAATTAGGCCTAAACTTGTTTATGAAGAACAAAAATATTTAGTTCATATTTATATTGTTTGTAAAGTATAACCAGCATTCTTTATTGAAGAGCATGAGTATATCCAAGCAAATCTGGCAATATAAAATTTTCAACAGAAACATTACATCTGGTATTAAAACTATTTTAGATATTGTTTAAAAAATTTCAGATAAGAGAACAACTCACTTTTAAACATTCTGACACAGCCATCATCGCCACTAGAAGCCAAAATAGTCCCAGTTATATTCCAACAAACCCTCCAAACTAAAGTATTATGATCATCGAACTGCGCAACTGTTTGAACATCTAATTTTGTAATGCCACTTTGTAAGCTCTGATCATCCCTGAAAAAATGAGAAATGTAGAACCAACATAACTTTTGTCAATAAAACAAAACATAACTTACTCCTCTGGTGTCAAATTAATAATTCTAACATCCTTAGTAGCTACAGCTAAAATGTGAAAGCTCCTTCCCAAATTTGGAGCAAACGAAATATCATGTACAGCATCCATGACTGAATTAATTGTTTCTAATTTCGTCCAACGCCTACTGTTTTCGCTATATTCATATATAAATACTTTTCCGCCATTGCCAGGGCTCGGATCATCGCTGCCTACTGCCAACATCTGTGGATGCAGCCTATAAGCAAACATAACATTCCATTGCACATTATTAAAAAATTACTGCAGTAAGTTTAAAATATAAGCAAATCACTGAAAAAATTAGGAGCAAAACACATGCAGCAGTTTTTGTTATTTTGTCAGCCATTTCGCATAAGTTTTATGCCATGTTGTTAAGTATGTACAAAATAGTCAAGTTGACATGGTACATAAGGGAAAAAACAGATGATTTGTCAAGAGAAATGTCTGGTGACTGGGTTTTTGTACTTTCAATTTAAAACTAATTTAATATCCCTACTTTGATAGACTAGGGTTCCACGATAAACAGCTACATGGCAATTTGCACTGAACCTCATGTTGTAGAGTCCATTGACTAAGATTCATTACATCAGGTGCTTCATAAATTCGAATAATGCCTTCTGCTGAACAAGTGGCTAACTGTAAACCTTGGGTTTTTGGACCAAATTTAACATCTGTAACTGATGTTCTGGAATCTACCAGGTTTGTCCTGCGAACCCAGTGCCTTGTACCTCTTTCTCCTGGACCTGGAGTTTCTCCAACTACAAAAAGACGAAGATTAATCTGAAACTAACTAGAAATAGTGAAATATTTTACCTATTTCTTCCCACACAGCCGCCGTTCTATCGAAAGAACAGGTAGCTAGAACTTGACCAAACTCTGGATGTGCCCACGTCACCTTCCACACTGAACCGCTATGTGCTTTCCAACTATAGCTTAAAGTCCATTTGCCTTCACTGCTTTGATCCCACACCTCCAATAAAAGATTTCTTAATATTTGTATATTCCTTCGGTATAATTTTTTACCTTAACAAAATGATCACTTGAACAAGTAGCCATTCTGTGGCCATAAAAATCATATGCCACATCATGGATTAAATCTTTGTGCTCTACATTAATTTCTTGTGCTTCAAACATGTCTTATACATACGGCGGGAATTACCTTGACAAAAGTAAGTAAATTTAGTTAAGAATTTAAGTTAAATTTACTTAACCACAAAATATATAAAACAAACATAGACCATAGATTAATACATAGACTACCATAGACCGGAAATTCTTCTTCTTCTTCTTTTTTTTGGCCTTCACCCGGGGGGTATTTAGCCAGCACCGTAAATTCTATTAAAATTGAAAATCTAAACGGTGCCTCCTTCATGTAATACATGCTCTAATGTCACAAAAAACTGCTATCGTAATCGTAATTGCCTTATACAGGGTGTCCGCAAATTTCACCGATAACGTTTCTCATATTCACGACGATAAATAAATACGATCTACGAAAAAAAAGTTTAATAAAAACTTTTTGGTTTTTGAGTTACAGGCCTTCAAAGCCCGAGGCTTTCGCCGACAGCCTGGAACTGCAGTGTAGACTGCCTCAGCTGCCCGACGAAGACGAGGA